CTTTTGAACTCATTCCTGGATGCAAGCTTTACTCTGATACCAAAACCAGAGACAGATCCAATGAAAAAAGAGAACTACAGGCCAATCTCCCTAGCAAACATAGTTGCAAAAATCCTCAATAAGTTACTGGCAAACAGAATCCAGCAAATCATCAAGAAGGTTATACAACATGTCCAAGTAGAAGTCTTCCCAGAGATACAGGGATGGTTCAACATAGGCAAATCAATAAATGTAATATATCATACCAATAAAGCCAAGGGGGCAAAACCATATGATCTTCTCAATAAATGCAGAAAAAGCATTTGAGAAAGCCCAACATCCATTCATGATAAAAATCCTACAGAAAATTGGAATAGATGGTCTTTATCTCAATCTGATAAAAACCGTCTATGACAAACCAACAGCCAACATCACATTAAACGGTCAAAAATTGAAAGCTTGTACTTTAAGGAACAAGACAAGAATTCCACTATCACCGCTCTTATTCAATATAGGTTTGGAAATATTAGCCAGAGCAATTAGACAAGAGAAAGAAATAAAAAGAATAGGAAAAGAAAAACTATCATCATTTGCAGATGAGATGATACTCTACATAGTGTACTCCAAAAACTCCACCAAAAGACTTCTAGATTTAATAATGTTTCAGTAGCATAGCAAGATACAAGGTCAGCACTCAAAAATCAAGAGCATTCCTGTACACAAATGACAAACTCACTGAGAGAGAAATTAGGGAAACCACATCTTTCACAATAGTATCCAAATAAATGAAATAATAGTCAATCTAATGAAGGAAGTAGAAGAACTTTACATTGAAAACTACATTATTGAAAAAGGAGACAGAAGAAAATATCAGAAAATAGAAAGATATCCCTTGTTCTTGAGTAAGAAGAACCAATATAGTGAAAATGAACATACTCCCTAAATTATTATACAGATTTAATGCAATCCCAATCAAAAATACCAATAGTATATCTCAGCAAATTAGAGAAAACAATCCTAAAATTTATTTGGAACCATAAGAAACCTAGAATAGTAAAAGCATTGCTGGGCAACAAAGACAAGTCAGGGGCATCAGAATTACTGACTTGAAATTATACTGCAAAGCTACAGTGATAAAAACAGCATGGTACTGGCAAAAAAATGAAAATAAAAATAAACCCTTACCTGAAGATCATTGAAACAGACCAGAAGATGCATAAACCACTCCAAATACGCCCAGTCACCTTACATTTGACAAATGGCCAAACACCTTCACTGGAAGAAAGACAGCCTCTAATAAAATGGTGCTGGAAAAACTGGCTTTCTACATGCCAAAAACTAAAGCCAGACCCATATCTCCCACCATACACTAAACTAAAAATGAAATGGATCAAATATCTCAATATTAAAACAGAAACACTACATCTGCTGGAACACAAAATAGGTAGAATTCTTGAAGACATAGGTGTAGGCAAAGACTTTATGAACAAAACACCGGTCACATAGGAGATATTACAAAGAATCAAAAACTGAGGTCCATCTTATTAAAAAGCTTTTTCCCAGGAAAAGAAACACCAACAAAGTGAACAGACAACCCATAGAGTGGGAAAAACTGTTTACCAGCTGTTCCTCGGAGAAAGGACTACTATCTAGAATATATAAAGAACTAAAAAAAAATCAGATCCCTCACATTTAAAGACCCAATCCAAAAACAAGCACCTGAAATGAATAGACACTTCTCAGATGAAGAAGGAAAAATGGGAAATAAATATATGAAAAAATATTCAACATCACTGGTTGTTTGAGAGTTGCAAATTAAAACACTGAGATTCCATCTCACTCCAAAAAAAAAATAGTTATTATCAAGAAATCAACCAATAACAATGCTAGCAGGGCTGTAGGGAATAAGGAATTCTTCTCCACCTTTGGTGGGATTGTAGACTAGTGCAACCACTATGTAAATCAGTGTGGAGATTCCTCAGAAAACTAGGACTGAAGTTTTCATTTGACCCAGATATTCCCCTGCTGGGTATCTTCCCAAAAGATTCAAAAGCATCAAACCAGTGTGATATATGCACACTCATATTTCTAGCAGCATAGTTTATGATAGCTAAATCTTGGAAACAGCCCAAATGCCCATCAAATGAATGGATAAAGATGATGTGGTTTTTAAAATATAGAATGGAGTACTACTCTGCTATTAAAGAGAATAAACTTCAGGGCCAGGGATTTACCTCAGTGGTTTCGCTGCCTGCTGCACAAGCACGAGGACTGGAATTCAATCCCCGGTACCAAAAAAAAAAAAAAAAAGAATAAACTTCAGACATTTCTAGGTAAAGGAATGCACCTTGAGATTATACACTTAATTGAAATAAATTGGACACACACGTTCCAATATCACATGGTTCCTGTGGTATAAGAAACCAAAAAATTGTAAATAAGTACCAAAATATAGAGTAGATATTTTGAAATAGGAAAAAATATTTGAATGGGAAGTGGAAAGGAAGGAAGGGAAAAAGAAAAAAGAGAATATAAGGAAAAACCATGGAAAAAGGATTTGGAAATAAGGAAAGGAAAAGGGGTTGAAGGGAGGGGAGGGAAATGGGAAAAAAGAAGAATCAAGATATATAATGTACAGGTACAACTTCCATGTGATGAATGTCATATATATATATATATATATATATATATATATATATATATATAGCACAAATAAAATTAATTTTTAAAAATAAAAGACTGAAATTTAAAATAACAATAAAAATAATTTGGGTGAGATATAAACACTTGAAACTGTGATTAGTGACCAGAGTGCCCACTCAAGGCCTTGGTTCTCATCTACGACACAGTAAATTGCTCTCCAGACATTTTCCAAAAATGATCAGGATTGAAATGTCTCTAATACAATAATTTAAATATAATGAAAAGCAAATATATAACTAAATATATTACCCACATAAAATAATGTATGGACATTTATCCACACTATATTGAGACAGCATTCTTAGTTTGCAGAGCTAATAGTGTGATTCACTCATGGATACCATAAAATTGATCATAACAAAACAGAGATTGGATACGCGCCAATATTTTAAATATAGGAAAGCTCTGTAGAATTCATTTCTTTAAAATATTTAAGCTTTGAGAATCTGAGAATAATTTTAGGATTAATATAAACTCCTTCAAATGTATACTAATTAATATAACAATTCTTCATGTATTAAACTGATGTTTTCACTTCTTCATTCATTTAACTTGGCCTCCAAGTCACATCAAATTTCCAGACTCTTTTAAAATATAAAAATAGATTTATCCTGCTCCACATTTTTATTTCTCCTTAAAGCTACAGCAGAGGAAGTGTAAGTTACTTTATTCATCTGAGATAAAGAAAGGAGAGACCAGAAACTGAAAGTGACCAGGGCACTTTGCACCTTCACATCGCAGTAAAGATCGTATAGCTAGATGAGAACCCCAAGGTTTTTCTCCAAGCTACCTTAGAAAATCTGAGCCAAGGCAAAAGAGAAGAGTAAATTTCTTCATTGAAAGTTGTTAAGAAGTTTGAGATGTGAGATGTGGCATACTTGCAACACAGTAGTTCTGGCCCAGTGTCCAGGCCATTCAAAGAGTTTGACATAGCTTACCACATCCAAGGAAATCAATAGGAAACCAGGGCAAGTGCAAGGTTTAATTCCAAGCAAAGAAAAATGATAATATCCAGAGCGGTGAGAGATAGTGACAATGTCCAGTAAGTATGACCCAAGTGAAGTGAAGACAAACCATAGCCCAGATTACATTTCATGAGAAGACATAAGCAAATATTAAATTCTGGGTAAAATATAATGAATGAAACTGACACATTCCAAGTGAGATTTATAGGATTGACAAAATCAATGTGAATTAGAGTTTATAGTGTTGTTATCTGTCAGGAAATTCTATTCTATTTAAATTGTGAAAGGTAATGTTTTCCTTTTTTTTATAAAGAAACACTTTCCTCAAATTGCAAAAGTGATAAGCATTAATTACAGAATACTGAATTGTAGAGAAGTGGGCATATGGTAGCCTGTCTAAGACAAGAGATTGAAAAAAATCACTCACGTCTCAGAAAAATTCACTACATACAATTTGCAGTGTGCATTTTTTATAGTGTCCCTGTACAAGCATACTTTTTTTAAATTTTAGGATATCCTCTATTTTTCCTTGGCACATTAAAATTCCTTAGTTTTCCATTTTAAAATTCTTCATTAATATAAAATTTATATGTTCTATTTCATTGCTTTCATAATCCATTCTATCAATGCACCAGTTTACCCAACTATCACAAAATTTAGACAAATGAAAAATTTTCCTAGTTTCCTATGAATAATGTTGAACATCATAAATTAAATAATTTTCTATATTTCCTCATGCATAATTATTGATAGTTTTTTAAAAGATATATAATATGTAATAGCTATAATGTGGTGAATAGTAACATAATTTCCAATACCTACTAATTATTTATGCTTCATTGAGTAGCATAGCTACTTTTTTTTCATATGCGCTTGTCAAGATTATGCCCTCTTCACAATTGGGTGGTCTGGGCATAATGCTAAGAAGTAAAATCAAAAAGTATTTAGTTAGTGTGAAAGTTGAACTGGTCTTCTTTCAATTTTAATTTTTGATTCATTAATTATGGTTAAAATTTGAAAAGTGCTCTACAGTAATTTTTAAATTCATGTATGTTTTTGAGTGTGTAGATTAAGATAGTTCATCGTTTCCAAAAATATTTGCTGAAGAAGGAATTTCATTGTGATAAAAAAATTGAGAACAATAAAAAATATGTATCTGTAATATTTCAGTCAAAGTGGTCAATAATTTTTCAATTGGTTGCAACAATTTAAAATAACATGAAAAATTCTAAAGAGAAAATTTACTAAAACAAATAATTTCTGTGTCACCATATAGTAAGTTACTTAACAATTCTCTTACAAAAAGGACTTGAACTAGCCCCAGATCCCTTATATTTGGGATACTGCTTTAACTGCTCACTCCTACCTACCATGGGTTACTGATTAGTCATACAGGCTGGAGTATGAACTTTTCCTACTTAGTGCCCTGTGAAGGTAGAAGAAACAGAATCTGTTTAGTCAGAGGTGTAACAACCATGAATTCTAAACATCGGTGTGTGAAGCTAAATGATGGCCACTTCATGCCTGTTCTGGGATTTGGCACCTATGCACCAGCTGAGGTAACAACAGCGGGATTGGCACTGGGGACTCAAAAGAAACTGGACCTGGGATGAGTGTCAAGTCACCCATTCCTACACGACTATGAGGGGCTCGGTGGCTCTCAGGTTCTGCAGGCTAGAGCTGTTTCATACACAGAACAGAAAAGGTGACTAGATGTTGCTTTACATCAAGGTCTGATTATGTTGGCACCTACCAATTATACTGTCCCTGGGTGCCTAATGGATAAGGTATTGGCCTCCCAATTATGCTGGCCACTGGATTTACATTCCAGTCTGTTTCTCAGCTAAGTACAAAACATGAAACTTACCCGTCATGAGCACTGGCTGATGGCTGATTCTGAGCACTTTCTCATAGATTAGTTGGCCATGGTAACACTGTGAGTGCTCTTATGCCTGAGAAAGTTAAGTGAAAAGGATGGCAAAAGAGGCCAGAAGCTCAGTATCTTATTTATTTTAATTTCATTAAGAAAAATAACTGCCTCCAAATCATTATACTAATTTGTAATGCTGGCATAAGAGGTATCCTAATTTGATCACTGACATAAGAGGCCTCCAGGAACATGTTAGAGAACCCAATAATTTCAAATTTTACTTTAATTATATCTTTCCTTAAAAAGTAGCCTTAGTTTTAAGGGCTGACACTTAACCTGACTCAATACCATACATCATGTAGGTAATTCCTTGTGTATGAATCTGTATATTTTGAATACAGATCTTTACTGCTTAGCATTTACTTCTATTGTGCATATAGAGTGGCTGCTTACAAAAGCTAACAGAGCCCTCTGCTATCTATTGAAGTGTTCGCTCTCAAACTGGCCTCTGGATGACCTATGGAAGCTTTTATCTCTCACTATTTTCTATCAGATAAGGGTGCTGTCCGTCCCCGAACTGTTAGGACAAATAATAGGATGTGTGCATCCCTGCTATCTCTTAGGAGACTGGACTATCAGGGTGTGCTAGCAGAGGAGTCTATGTAGCTAGCACCTCAGTGAAAGGCTGAGAAAATGTGTCTCCAGAGACATTCTGGAACAAAATTCCCACATATCCTCTACGTTCAGAGTTGGAGGAATTTAGGGTGTTGTTTTTAAAGTTACTTGGAGGAGACTATTTTTTCTATACTTCATTTCATGGTCCTTTTCCTGTGTTAATTTTATTACCTCACTGTATGAATATTAACCATTGCTATAAATATGTGCTCCATCCTCTGAGTCCTTCCAGAAAATCATTGCATGTGAGGATATTTCTGGAGACCTCCTCTACCAGTGATCAACCAGTAATTGTCTGGGACCAAAGGGGTCCTTGGAATGCCCTATACTTGTTACAAAGAAGGAAAGACCAAATCAATCTAACATGTATTCATCACAACTGCACGACTAACTGGAAACATGAGGAAAAGCTGTTTTTGTGAAGTCTCTGCTTGTTCTAGAACTCTCTATCATGTGGATCTCTCAACACTACCTTTGAACACCTTCCTAGGTTCCCAAGAGCAAGGCTGGAGAGGCCACCAAATTAGCCATAGATGCTGGGTTCCGCCATATTGATTGTGCTTATTTTTACCAAAATGAAGAGGAGGTGGGACAGGCCATTCGGAGCAAGATTGCAGATGGCACTGTGAAGAGAGAAGACATCTTCTACACTTCAAAGGTAACGTGCATACTGTGTGCAGGTGTGCAACTTAATGGAATGTGATGTGTTGAAGAAACATTTGTATGATTTAATCAGTAATCGTTGATAATATATATATATATCGGTCCATTGTTTACTCACATGTATTTATATATAACATCCAGTGCTAAAAACAGAGAGAGATGATGGTTTTCTTGTTGTTGCCGCCTTCACATTTCTAACCCCAATGTAAAGTTCCTTCGGTTTCTGAGCTTCAACTCCAAGCACTGTGATTTAGCATGAACGATGTAGTCAGACAGACCTTGAGCAGATTACAGCTTCTTTTATCATATTGGGGGTCTGACATTTGGTGAACAGTCTGAATATCAATTTTTACCTTTATCACTTCTTAATGGTGAATATCAGTGAGAACTGTGTCAGAGTACTCCTTTGGTATTAAAGAAGACATTACTGAATTGTCTTTTATTGAATCTGTCACACATTAAAAGTTCAAAATCTTTTGTATTAATTCATTCCAATTTGTTGGAATGGATGGGAGAATTAGACTCTTAAACTGTTTGGTCATCTGTGGAACACAGACTCAAAAATGATCATTATTATTACTTGATAAAAATTTTATCTTGAGTAATTTTCTTCCATTATTCATTAATTTGCTAATAATAATGAACATATAACACAGTTTACATGAATAGATGAGATGTTAGAGAAATGCAGATGTTAGTATTTTTCCTATGTTCATCAGTTTCTGACCAGTAGAAAAATGTTTCAAGGTTAGGAAAAAGGAAATCAATACTTCTTTTAATGTGTTGTACAACTTTCATTCTTTAACCTCTCTAGCTTTGGAGCACATTCCATCAACCGCAGCTGGTCCAATCTTGCTTGGAAAGGTCACTGAAAAAGCTTCAATTGGACTATGTGGACCTCTATCTTATTCATTTCCCGGTGTCCATGAAGGTAGGCAACTTGCATCATTAGATCTATTTAACTTCAGCATTCAGCAGGACCGTCAATTTCATGGTTGACTGAATTAGGCTTTTATAAACTTACACAAACATTATTTGTGTGTTATGGAAACTTTTCAAGCCAGTTTATACAAAAGAATTCGTTGAGTAGTGTAAATGGGACATTGATAAGTGGGAAATAATCTTCAGAAATATCTCTTTTTATGAGCCCCACTCATGTATTTCCACAGGTTTCTTCGGTTTTTGTCAAGTCCCCTTCCGCACTAGAGACAAGCCCTTTGTTTAAAAAAGGCTCATGATTATTGATACTTGAGAGACTCTCAGGATCTTTCAGCATCAAAATTAATCTTGAAAAGAGCCTGGATTGACCTTCATCCTCAATTTAATCTGTGGACTCTTCCCATTTTTTCATTGTTTACCTTCTTCATTTTCATTTTTATTTTCTGTTTTTTGTTTTATTTTATCCCATTTCCCCCTCCACTCCCCTCCCCTCCCTATGTACAAAGCTTTGTTTCCATTTTTTTCCTCTATTTTCACTTTTTTTTCTTATCCCTTTCTTTCTCCCTCCCTCCTCTTGTTTACCTTCTAATCACGGGACAGATTTAGACAAGGAACAGCCTACAGAACTGTAATTCAGTAAATGAGAAGTGGCCTAACAGCTAAGGGCACTGCACTAGCAGGCCACACAGAGTGGTTTTAAACTCCTTGTCAGTTGTTGGCTGCATTATGTGGTGTAGGTTTAAAACCTGTCTTCCTTTTTATGTATAAAAATAATTATATCACATACCTTATAAGGTAGAAAAGAGATTAAATTAGTTAATATGCATAAAGATCTTATCCTAGTACCCAGCATATGGACTGTGCTTGGTAAATCTATGTGTTTTAGTATTTTAAAATAATAACGACTAAGAAAACAAATGCTAAATTCTGCTTTGTATTGAGCAATAACAGAATTTGTACCAATCCCAGTTTTTTGACCTATAGAAGAAATGAAAATTATTACACTTTTCTTCCATGTTTACACTTTGCATACCCCTTGGCAGGCTGCTGTATGAGATTTTGGAACATAATGAACCATGAGACACAAGAACTTTAAGGGAGTGTTTAATTTGAAATATTACCTATAATTAGAATCATATTTTTTTCATCAGGATGCTTAATCCTATGCCTTACCAAAAAAGAGTCTACATTAAGCTGCTGATAAGAGTTCATACACATCATACTGAAAAGAAACTATCCTGAAATTCATTGGTCATTCTTCCTGGGTGGGTTTCAGGATTTGTGCTGATCTCAACTTCTTTTCCTAGAAGGGACTCAAATGGATTACTCTAACACTTGCAGGTTCTATGCAATTCCAGAATCCATGGCTGGTAGTGGTTTTGGTTTGGTTGGTTGGTTTTCTAACAGAAATTACCTTTGACTTTGGAGAAAACTATTGTTTTATTTTATATGGGTACATATTTGTAGTACATGATGATTACATTCATCATGAGTTTGTTACATGTACATGACATTTCTAAATTCTTCTCTAAAGCCTTTCCCCCGGCTTCCCTCTCCCTCCCCACATCTCTTGGACCCTTCAGACATATATATTCTTATACATGTTTGTAGTTCATGATTATCACATCCCTCATAAGGGCTTAGTGTATATAAAGAACACTTCACAATTCCTCCTTTTAAAAAATCTTCCCTCCCTTCCCTCCCTCCATCCATTCGGTTCCCTTCCCATATGCTAAAGATTCATCTCACTATTTCTTAGTGTCTATCCTTATTTTTGCAGTTTATTTATATTTTGGCTCTCTCACATAAGAGAAAACATGAGACTTTTGAACTTGTGTGTCTGATTTACTTCCTCTAACATTATGGTCTCGAGGTAAATCCATTTTTCTACAAATGGTTCAAGTTTATTTTGAGGAGTCATTTACATTCTAATGTCCTATCTACTTTCCTATTTCCATGTTTCCTTTTATTCTATCTCATACTTCTTTTATAACTGAAAATAGAAATGAAAAAGAAAAGAAAGAAAGAAGAGAAAAGAAGAGAAGACCTTCACAGATCAGCTTTGACTCACATGCCTAACTTTTGACCATTCACATACTCAGGGATGGAGATTAACATTGATTCTATAGCCTGAGTTAAGATTTTCCCATTTTAAAAGAACCATTTTTCCAGAGGAAAGTACAGGAATATGAAAAGCAGCAATAAATCAACCAGGACATCACATAAGGACCTAAGTGCATATTATAAATTAACATATTTAAAAGCCATTAAAAAACAGATGGAAACTTTCACCTAAAACATCCCTAAAAGCACCACAACCAAAGTACTTTGGAAATATAACTCTGAAATGTTGTTCCACCTATTTTTTTTTTGAAGATTAGTGTCCCAAGTCTAGATTTACCAAGGAGTATAGATATGGATGGAGATAAGAATTTCATGAAATGGCTCTAATCGCTGCTTCTGTTCCAGCCAGGGGAGGAGCTTATCCCAACAGATGAACATGGAAAACTAATAGCTGATACAGTGGATCTCCTTGCCACTTGGGAGGTGAGTACTTGGAAGAGAGAGCACAAGGGGCGGGGGGGCAGAGAACAAGGACAGACAAAGACTATTAGGTCACAACACTACCTATATGTGCTATGCACTACTGGATCAAGAAACACTTGACCTTTACGAGGGGTGCTCTGCTGACGTGGTGGGCAGAATTGTGTCACTGCGATATAAGAGAGGCAGAGTAATTTGGGAAAAGAAAAGACAGTCATCTCTTTTCCTCCATATAAAAATAGTATTTCTGACTTCTTCAGAAGAATATAGAGTTTTTTCTTACTGTCCTTATCTTCATTATTTTCTTAGCATCAATTCCAATCACCTTTGTTGACGTGTTCCTTTTAACAGTACTATTTGCATATACATTAATATGTAACTAATTGCGCATATCATTCTTCGTAATCTTTTCCTCCCCAGGCCATGGAGAAGTGTAAGGATGCAGGATTGGCCAAGTCCATCGGGGTGTCCAACTTTAACCGCAGGCAGCTGGAGATGATCCTGAACAAGCCAGGGCTCAAGTACAAGCCTGTCTGCAACCAGGTAAGCGCCCTCAGCTTCCTGTTCTTTTGGGCTCCTTTCCATTTTTCTGTGTCACTGCTGGGCCTCCCTCTGTCTTCTTCTCTGATTCATCTTAACTTTATACAGCAGAAGATATGGAGAACTCTTAACTGTATCTCTGGTTTGTGAAGTCTTAATGAAAAAGGATTGGAGGCCGTAGGGCTGTGCTCTGTGTAAGAATCTAGCAATGCAAACGTTATCTCAGTGAGCTGAAGTAGTATTTAGATCTCAAGAAAATGCACATCCCTGTGAGCTACGGAGGATGACTGCAGACTAAACGGGTGAAAGTGCTGTTGAGAGAAGTGTGTGTCAGAAAATAGGCCAAAGAACGTAGCAGGGACAGTAAGTGCACTGAAGTGAAAATAAGACGTATGGTAGAGATTTGTGTGGGTTTCTCATGCTTCCTTCCTTCATCCTGGCACCTCTAGCATCAGAGGTCTTGATCTGAGGCACAGCTACAGGGAAAATTAACTGTAAAATATGAAAGACTTCCAGGTTGGAGAAAAGAAGTCATCTGTATACTAATTGTGCATGAAAGCAGCGTTTTGGAACTCTTACCAGACCTGCCCTTTGCCTGATTTCGTCTTAGCTTCCCCCTGCTTTCTTTTTCTTTTTTAAAATTAACTTTATTGGTCCATTTTAGGTGTACATTTTGATCACACTCATCATGGGATTTGTGCCTGTTCATGATGTATCTCAGTTCTTGTTTTTCCCATTCCCCTTCCCTCTGTTCCACCTCTCCACCCCTCCCTATTTACAAAAGCTTTGTTTCTGGTTTTTCCTTCTTTTCTCATACTTTTTCCTTCCCTTCTTTCCTTTCCCCTACCCCCATCCCCCCCCTACTTTCTTTAATCAAATCTGCTGCTTAATCACATAGATTCTGTGCCTACATCAGCTCTTTTTTTTTTTTTTTTTTTAACCAACTCTCAGTCCTGGAGTAAAGGATGATGATAGGAAAATGTACTTTGAATTTTGTACATAATGACACAGTGCCTTATTTTCAAATATGTGTTAAAAACTTAATGTGCTAGTTTGTCTCCCTTTTCTTATGATGCTCATGTTTAAATCTTTAGAATGATTTGAAGAATTTTATACAACACCCATATTTTCCCACCTATATCTGAAAGTGTTGACATTTTATCATGTTGCCAATGTAGGTAAAGGTATGTTAGTATACCTACAAATATATGTTTAATTTTTGGCCGAACTTGTCCAAAGTAAATTGTAGATATAACCTTCCATCCTTAGAGACATGAGTGAGAAAAAATCTCTCAAAAATAATTACAGTGGTACCTTGGTTTACAAACTTCATTTGTTTTATAATTTGGCGGAAAATGGTTGTGGTCGTGTTTGTCACCTGATGTGGGAGTTTGCAAATGAAAGCACAATTTTGCCAAAGGATTTTGTTTACAAACTGAAATGTTTACAAACAGAAGCATTCATAAACCAAGGTATTACTGTATATCCTCCCAAATAGTTACAGTCCATTACTAGATCTAAGGAAGTTAAAAAATTTTTCTCTTCTATCATTTAATTTCCATATTCAAATTTCCCACTCTTTTTCTAAAATGTCTTATTCAGCTCATTTTTAACTAGGATATATTAGTAGCACAGCACCCAACATTTGGTAATATTTTCAAACTCTTTTAACCTACACTAATCATCAGTTCTTTTCCCCATGTTACCCAGGCAAGTTTGGTCAGTAGTATTATCAGATTGTTGTTTTGTAAAATTTGATGCTTACTTCCTCTATTCCAAGTTTAAATTTGACTTTTCCCTCACACCCTTTGACCCTAAATTGCTTCCTCTACAAATTGCCTGTTTAATGATGGATTTAATGATAGCTTGCCCCACGATCTCTCCCCATGGTTTGGGACACCTGGTTGACCTGGTTAGAGTCAGAGCTCTTCCTTTCTGCACGCTTCCCTGCACTGCATTACCACTGACATGCAGGTGACAGTCGTCTACAGGTTAAGTGTGTATTTCATGTCCAACTTTTGCATAATATTGTATTATCTTTCAATTCTGTTTTCCTGAATTAATTGTTTTATGGGGAATTACATATAATTTTGTTCATTTTAAACTACTCCGTTTATTTTCCTACATATTTTGCTTCAAAACAAAATTTCACTAAAAAGTAAAGTACAATAATTCCTGTAAGATGAGGTAAATTATATCACCTTTCTTTAATTATCAATGATATGAGAGAATTCTATCCAAAGAGAATTCGAAGAAGCAAATTTATTTTTTAAAAGGATCTTTACTTCAGATTGATATTTTGCATTCAAATTTCATATTGCATAGGTTTTTCTTTTATTTGGCTTTTTTATTTTATCATGTCTTTTACATATTAAGGTAGTCATCGAATATGATTTGATGCCATTCTATCTGCCCATGTACAGGTGGAATGTCATCCTTATCTCAATCAGAGCAAGCTGCTCAATTTCTGCAAGTCAGAAGATGTTGTTTTGGTTGCCTACAGTACTCTGGGATCCCATCGAGAGGACAAATGGTAATTAAGCAATAAGAATCACATCTACACAATTGCTGATGAGCTATTGTTAGTATTACAGTATTGAGTTTCCTGGAGTTCTCTCTCTACTGGCTCAGGGAGGGGATAAAATTTGCCTTTCTGAGAAAATCCTAGAGATGCATGTATTACTAGTTCCCTGGCCTAGAGTTCGTCTGTTTTAGAAGCCTGACCCAAATACATAGGAACAGGATTTAAGCATTTCTGTCTTTCCTTCCAGGGCAGACCAGAGCTCCCTAGTTCTCTTGGAAAATCCAGTTCTTTGTGCAATGGCAAAAAAGTACAAGAGAACTCCAGCCCTGATTTCCCTTCGCTACCAGCTGCAGCGTGGGGTTGTGGCCCTGGCCAAGAGTTTCAATGAGAAGAGAATCAAAGAAAACATACAGGTGATGAGGGGCCCATAGGCATCAGGGCTCCTCCACAGAATCTTTCATGTTTGCTTCTTTGCAGGCTCCCAAAATATTTTTGTGTCAAGTCATTTTTCCTGGTATATACATGTGTGTTTCATGTGCATTCATAAATGTTTACTCCTGCTCCACAATAGCACTGATGCTTGCAGATCTGCAGAGAATTAAGATTGGGCAGATTTGGGAAAATTGAGTTGTAGCATTACAGTGGTAATGTATTCCATAGTCCTGAGAAAGTTACATCTCCTTTTCTTCTTTTTATGAAATAGAAATTGGATTCCCTATTTCTGAAGACTTTCAGTCTATAAATGATTATGGTCTTGTTTTGTGTATATTCAAGTATCCTTGAATACTGATATAGTTTAATATTCACATAGATATTCACTTTCTAAGTTGATTATCTTTTCATTTTCAAATAAGAAGAATTTATTAGACCACTTCCTATTATACTTGTACTTTAATATAAGTATAACATATATGTATATTCAAACAACTTTCAATAAGGTGACTTTGAACCAAAACCACTTATTAGCTTGATTCACAATTCTATGATTTTAACCCTACCTTGGTAGTGCCTGCACTCCCTCAGTTTTTCTGCCTATACACACATCTCTGTCTCATGCATTTGCTCTATGCCGAGGCTCTTCTGCTCCAGGCATTGGCTGGGCTGTGGTCTGAGGAGCATCAGACGTCCTCTACATACGTTTCATCTACTACTCAACTACTCAAGCTTCACCTACTCAATATTTTCTGAAGGGAGAGTGGATATTTGGAAAGTTCATGGCTAAGGTCAGAAATTGTATGTCACTGATTCTGTCAAGTTCTAGTAGCCAATGGAAGTTACAGGCTTGTCAGGATTGAAGAAGCTTCTGTTTTTTGTTTTTTTGGTTTTTTGGTTTTTTGGTTTTTTGTTTTTTGAAACAGGGTCTTGTTATGTAGTTCAGGCTGGCCTTGAACTCACTATGTAGCCCAGGTTGGCCTCAAACTCCAGGTGATCCTCCTGCCTCAGCCTCCTGAGTGCTGGGATTACAGGCATGCCCCACCAGGCCCAGAACACCACCTTTTAGCAGAAGAAGTGTAAACGTGTGGAGAGTATCAGATGAGAAGTATGGGGGGCAACTGTTATAATCACTCAGCCACATTTATGTCTTCTAGATATTAATGACTTTTCAGATTCAAAATGTGCATTGAAATTCCCTCCCCTACACAGGCTATGTTTTCATGAATTAAATTTCCTTCTCTTAGTAAAATCAAACTCACTGTGCCTTTACAGGTGGTCAGCAAACATCATGTCTTTTCCTATCTGGGGGAAACAGCAGGGTTTACTATATCATCTTACAAGGCTTACTGTCTTTCCTTTTACACTGGTCTTTATTCCAACTCTGGTGTGTGAATGCTATGCAACATAAGGATAAAATGTACATACGCGACTGTCAAATGGTTATCCACAGTTACCAGCAGCAATGAGTACATTTCAGACCTCTCTCCTCTCATCAACTGATACATTTCCTTTTCTCTAATTTTAATATGTTTAAAAAATCAGTCTTGTTACCCAGAGTAACAAAATATTTTATTACTCACTCCTTGATTTAGAAATATTTTGGCAATTCTTGTGTGATTCTTGTGTTAAACAAAATGGAGAAGCACTTTATGAACCTACCGAATTTTCTTTAAGTGTTTATTTTATGTTCCATTGAAGCAGTTGATATATTTGGAGAGAAATTTTGACAATATTAAGGTTTATAATCCATGATTGTGATACAAATTTTCAATTTTTTAGGTGCTCTTTTATATTAAAAGATAAGTTTGACAAGTTTTTCCACTAAGACATATCTAGAAACAGAAAATTTAGATTTATTCAAGGAAATCTATGATGTTGATCATCTTTTGATAATATTTTTTATTTTGATAATTTTTTAATTTACAGAAAAATTAAAAGAATATTTCTCTTAGATTCATCAGTGTTATATGGTTGAGATTTTAAATTGTCTCTGATAAATTTTTACTGTAGATTTAATGATCCATTCATTTCAATATGTTAACAATTAATAAAAATCATTCTCATGTTTAAAGCGTCACAAACTGAGACAATGAGATAATTTGAGTCAGTTCCTGGGTTCTTTGAACATGACATCATTGCGCAAACAATTCCTGGCTTATGTTGAAAAGAACAGCTTTTACCTTCTAACTGTTCATTGATGGGATATGGAAATTCAACTGTATCCTGAAAATTACTGAATTTATATTTCAAAATTTGACTCTAGATTATTCTGGATAGTTAGAAGACACTGTCCTCTTTGAATCATGGCAGCTTTGATTTTACTTACCTTTATTAGAAATATTTTTTTGTTTGAAGTGTTCTGCAGTTTTAATATTTTATATGTAAGAATAGATTTCTTTTTATTTTTCACCTGGTGTTCATTATTCATTTGAGTTTCTTGCTGCTGTTTTTAATAACTTTTAGAAAGTCTTCATATATTTTAGGGGTTTTGTGCACTATTTAATCTGATTAATTTGAAAATTTTAGATTGGCAAACATTCAATGTAAATATAATAGAACTCTTCTACTTATGTGGTAGGCTTTTGAATTCCAGTTGACTTCAGAGGACATGAAAGTCCTAGATGGCCTGAACAAAAATGTTCGATATATTACCCTTGATATGTAAGTAATTTTGGTAAATATGTTGCTTCGATTTATTTTCTGAGAAGAGATATAACATGGTTGCTAAAAGTTGCCTCAGTAGTAGGAAGAAAGTTACCAGTTCGAGTTAGGATGAAACAGGAGCTTCTGGAACCCTTCTTAAGTTCTCTTCTCTGACCCAGCAACAGGATGCGTGGAACCAGGGTCAGCTTGGATGCCCACTCAGGCACCTCTGCACTTCTTATTCCATGGAATGTTCCAGATCAGCCAAAATCATTGCTGCATGCATACTGCATGTACACCTTTGTATTCTGCAACTCTCCTGTGGATACACACTGTGGATATTACCAGTGCAGTCTAGACCTTTCCAGAAATCATGTTTAAATCGTCTTTCCCCTAACCTGTTCAATTTTCTATCAAATTAAAGGGATCTTCATTACTTTTGTGGTCCACACCAAGAATTCTCATCTCCTTTGTTTGAAACTCTTCACTGAATAAGGCAATTTAGTGTGTTTAATAATTTCATGTCTCTCTTTTCACTACACATAATTGTTCAAAACCCAAACACTCCGTGTGCCTTTAGAAAGGCTGCCATGGAGGACATTAACTGAGCACTTAGTTGTGATTTTCTGAAGCATGCAGATTTTAACAGAGAGGCTGACCAAGTTATCAAGAAGAGAGGGAATCTGAGGAAGATTGTACCAAAAAAAGCCTCATCTTGGAGAGAATTTGTAACTATCAATAGAGCTTAGTCCCCTTTCATGCACTAAGGATGTAGAAAATGAGAAAGGACAGATATTATAATTGAGCCTAACAAGAAATATATACCTCTTCTATCTGTGGAAATTTTAATTCTTATTTGAAATAAATGTGATAATGTATGAAAGGGCATTTACACAATGCAAAAGCGCATGTACTCAAAAGTAGGTAAATACACATTACCCTTGCTAATATTTTTATAATATAGAGAAGAGTAAAGAAAAAGGTAGTAACATTATGAAAAAAAGAGGTCAAGTAAGCAATAATTCTAACAATTAATTACTTAAAATTAGTGATTTTAACACTTTATACATTGCATTATTAAAGAATAAAGTTTTATAAATAATACAGTAAACTCTTTGGGCATGTAAAGCTATCTTATAAATGATATTCCTTCCATTTCTGAGTCAAACACAATATGCTATGTGTAAGGGACAGCAAGTAAAATAATTACTGAATTATGGACGTGGAATTGAAATTTTTAGCCTGAAAGTGTATAGCATAAAATATATTTATTTTGAGCAATATCTGAAATTGTCCTTGTCCTATACAAGGTATAAACAGAATCCATTCTCATTGAAAATTTGAAATAAGAAAGAATAAGGTAATACTTTGTTAAAGAATACAAATGAAATAATTCAGATAAAACTTTAAAACATATTTTCTAGTAATTCATTTATTACAAATTCTATAACCAATTAATAAAGAAAATAGGTATCACTTATTTTTACCCCTCTAAAAATGCAGTTGTCAACCTCATATTATGCATTTTTCTTTCTTGTTTTAGTGGTGCTGCCCATCCTAATTATCCATTTTCTGATGACTATTAACATGGAAGCCTAACTTCGCCCAGAAGCCCCTGTGCGTGGATACGGATATAAGAGATGTCTCAAATACAGATGTTTAGACTCATTTCTTCTCACCTGTTCATGCTTGCTGTCAACTCATACTATGGTGGAACCATACCATAGATTTGGAAGAAGGACACTAACTTTTTGTCATATTTTGAAAAATATAAATTGTTTTCCCTAAAACTTCTTACCTAGTACTGTATCTATTACTTGCACGGTTTGTTTGCTTTTGACTCATTAAAACTAAAAACTGATTTGTGTATAAGTCTGGAGGCTGGGCTGGGGACAAGGGTGATACAGTCATTTCACAGACACATCTGGGGTGGGAGTACGTGGAGTTCTCAGCCTCCGAGAGAGAGTAGCGGTCATCAGGTCACCATCAGACAGAGTTCTTCTAACCTTTTCAGGAAAAAAGAAAACCCACTGCACGCAGTCCAGAGAGGGAGGCGCTTATGCGAAGGGACCACCCATCCAAGGGCTCAGGGCTCAGAGATCCAGGAAGTGTCGGCCGAGAGGATGAATGATTACCCAGAGGAGCGACTTAGTCCAGCCACCGCGAGGCCCAGAGGGGCGACTCTCCCCCAAGAGGACCCAGCATTTGGGAGACTCCCGGGAGCAGAACGCTGCACGCCAAGCGCTCTCTGGCTTTTAGGTAGAACATCGCTGCGGGAGAAGAAAGGAGCAGAGAAGTCTGGGTCAGAAGCCGTCCCGAGGCTGGGCAGTTTCTCTTGCTGAAGGAGGAAGGACGATGGCCAGACACAGCATGTTTCACGAGGGAAGACTCTGCTGCTTCACCATTCGATTCTCACGCAGCCTGTGTGCTCTTGCCCCTTGGTTTAATTATTTGTGTGCTTCTGTCCCACAGTTTCAGCATTCACTCCTGGGCCAAGACCCTCCTAGGAAATAAGCCAGTGAGGCCTCCTGTGCGACAGCTGGGAGGAAGGTGACGGAAGACCCGGCCTGGAAGGACGCTGAGGAGACAGATGTGGGGAGGTGGAGGAGGTCGGGGGAACGCGCCTCTGCTGGTGAGACACTGACAGGTTCTCCTTGGACGAGTGCATTGCGGTGATGACAGAAAACCGTGCACGTACTTTACCCAAGAGCAAGCTCTGTGTGTCAGTAACAGCAGTGATCTTATTAGGTGGGAAGCCCCTTAGGACAGCTGCAGTTGTATCTGTTTTACCACTTATCATATCTCGGTAGGCTTTTTCCCCTTAGCCAATAATTGAAACCCATTTAAAAGACTTTCCTCTGAAGAGCTCACTGTACACGACCAGAGACAGCCAAGTGGAGTCCCAGCCCCAAGTGAGTCACGAAGTCAGAGAAACAATTGAGCTGATCCAGTTTTCCTGTACCTAACACCATGTTCGCCAGATTTGAAGCTTAAAAATATTAATATATTACTGTTTAAATATTTCCCATGCAAAGAAGGCATACTTACATATAACTAAGCTTTGAAATATTTTCTCTGAAACCAATATTATGGTACTGAATGAATTTGGTAATTACAATTCTTTTAAATTTTCAAGCATCCTTTGTAAACACATATGTGCAAAATAGCATAAGAATCACTAAATATGTTAACTTTGGGTAACACATGTACAAATATTTTATTTTTTATTTTTTTAGGAACATAAAGTTAACATTCTAATTCTAAATGATGAAAACTTGATCTCAAGTCTTTGTTAAAATAAGGGACATCATAGGCCTATTTGGAAAATTAAATAACTTTGACACTGACAGTTTTTCAAGACTTGCCTCATCTTTCTAATACTTATTCCTGTTTAATTGCTTCTTCTTATGACTACATGCGTCATGTCCTCAAGCTGGAACATAAGCAACCAAACTGCACAATGCACAACTTTTCTGAACTAATTTATATTTTAAATTAGTAATTTAAAGCATACAATAATTTGTAGTATATATATAGAATAGTATATATAATTTACTTTCTGATTTAAAGTATACAATAGTACATATATATAACATATGTTATACATATGTTATTTTATAACCTCATCTTTTAAGACAATGCATAATTGGGATTAAACTCTTAGGCTACAGTTGTGCGTGGGTGTGTTTTCTTTTGCAATGTCTCACAGGTCACTTTTTCTCAGTCAGTTGATAGAAACCCATTTATTTTATAGACTTTCTGCTCTGGGGATAATCATTTTACATGACCAAATGTAGCCAAGTAAATTTCTGAGGCCTCTTTAAGGTAATAGAAAGATAAGAAGAAGATGTGAAGTCTCAGGAAATTATAGTATATAATTCAGAGCTATTCTTCATAAAAGAAAGAAAATCTGAACACACTGACAGTATTAGACTTTCCGTTTCAAATCTGACAAGGAAGGCACTTGAAATTGTTACTTTTATCTGCATAACAAGACAGAAGGTAAACAAACTGAAAGTAAAAACCCTTCTTAGATCCATCAGAAAACCAAAAGTTACAAAGCAAATACACACCTGAAAAGCAAGAAGACAAAAATAACCACTCTCTGAAGCATCTGTTCTTACTATCCAAGACCTCCATTTAAAAAAACTATTTTACCAAGTCCAGTTTATTTTGGCTTTTTATGAGAGCCAAATCTACCTGCCAAATGGGGAAAGAGCCAACTTCAGATCCCCCAGCTTTCCCTGTGAGGGTAAAGAAATACTCAACAGTGGCCCCCAGGGCCTTCCTGTCTGACTTGTGGAGGGAGGGAACTGAGGAGCCGGCAGGTCCAGGCCGAGGCACAGGCTCACTAGAGACTAGGGCCTACCACAGCATTAGCAATGCAATCATGTCAATTCCTCCCATCCATAAGTATTTGATCTTTTACCTTCTACAGCATTCTTCAATTACTTTCTTCAGTGTTTTATAATTTTCCATTATAGAGGGCTTTTTATACAACTTTGGTTAGATTCACTCCCAAGGGTATTTGGGCTTTTTTATTTTGTTTGTTTTGAGGTTGTCATGAATAAGATTATTTTTGTCATTTCTTTTTCAGCAACTTATATTGCTGTACAGAAATGCTACAAATTTTAATGTTGATTTTGTATTTTGCTGCTTTGTTGAATTTATTTATCAGTTCTAAGAAGATTTTGGTAGACAAGTTTTTTTAGATATAAAATCATATAATCTACAAACAGGGACAATTTGACATTTTCCTTTCATTCTTCTTTTGCCTGAGTGCTCTGATTAGTTTATAATATCATATTGAAAAAGAGTGTTAAAAGTGGACATCCTTGTACATCCCTAATTTTAGAGGAAAAGCTTTTTTTATTTTCAATTTCCTATATCAATCATTTTTCTGCCAGATATCTTTAAAAAAAAAAACTGCTGGCCTCTGGCTGCTCCACAAATTACTACATGCTAAGCTATGATAACTTGTAGGTATGGATCAAAAATCATATTTCCAAACCTGTTTGAACATTTTCTCTGAACACTTCTTAGCTTGGGCTATGGTTACCTCCCCAATTATGAGCCTCAGGTGCCGTCTACTGGCCAGGCCCAATTATCCTTTACAGAGGGCTTGTGATGCCTGTTCCATAGTGATCAGATCTGTACAATTGTTGCCAGGTAAGTCCTAGTCCAATGTTTGTCCTGCCTCTGGTTTCACAGAATAAGAGCCAAAAACTAAGTTCCAGGTTCCTAGTTAACCAAAGCAATTTTATCGTTGGGGAAGATATGTTACAGCTGATTCACAGCTCTAAGGGCTTCAGGAAGATGAACCCTCGTGCCTTAGACTGCCTGTTAGTTAGTATGGGGAGCCACTCCCTCCTTAAGCTCTAGGTATACTCTCTGCCAGATGGAAAATGCCAAGTCAATCCCCATCACAGCCCTCTGAGGTACATCCTCAGCAAATGGGATAAATTTTATCCTCAAACTCTAAACAAAAAGAGAATTGTTTTCATTTTCATTACAGTGCAGCCTTACTACAAACTAGGTGGCTAAAAATCCTGACCCAAAAATAAAAGATTAAATAATTAAATAATTATGCCATTTCAGCTAGACTTTAGCCAAAAAGCAGGTGAATGACCAAATACAGGTGAATGATGCCATACATCCAGGCACTCTGAGCTCTTAGGTATAGCCCAAATCTTCGTAATATATGTAGGTTTGAACCAATGATAATAGCTCTTATAGACAAGGATGTACCTTCAAAGTTAGGGGATCTGCTTTTTGTTTCATCCCTCTCGATTATGGTGTTCTTGGCATCTACAACTTCCTAAAATCTCCGCTGCATCTTTGGCTTCATTCTCACAGCATCATTCATTGATTGCACTCTCAGGGATACATTGTCTGGCCTCCAAGGCTTCCCTCTGAAACATGGGTATAAGCCTTCAAGACCCCGTAACTCTTGAATTCTGCATGTCCAGAAAACCAACACCATGGAAATAATGCCAATATCAAAGTCAAAGGAGGAAAGGTTTTATTGAAACTCCCGGTTTGTAGAGGTTTCAGTTTATAGTTGGCTGGCTTCAAGGCAGAGTAGCACGGTAGAGGGGCACGGCAGAAGAAAAACAGTTCATGGTGGACAGAAGGCAGCAAAGTATACAGAAGTAACAAGCAACAATAGCAGTTCTCTTTCTGTCCCTTTTACTCTATCCAGACTGCATGCCCTTAGGGCAGGCAGCACTTACACCCACGGTGGGCCTTCCCATTGTCCACTCTCAGAACTATGCCAAACCAACTACTGGACTAACTTAGTAATCACACACCCTTAACCCCTCTGAAAAGCCTCATCTATGACCGCATGAGGTTTTGGGGGGACATCTAGACACAAGCCGTAACAAACTTCTTCCATGAGGAACATGTCATTCAGAGTTACTTGATTCCATGTGCTCAGGACATGGTCACTCAGGACCACAGGTAATGGGGCTACCTGCCTGACACACGGTGATGGAGCAGATACCAAAGCCGAAGTCTCCTTGATCCTGAACTCCATAAAGTCCTGTTCTAAGCATGCTCAATGTGGAAGGCTGGAAGTGCACCTTGTGGGAGGCTTCAGTGA